CCTGCCCCAAATCCTCCGTAGGAGATTTGGCCTCAGCACTCCAGCTTTCTCACCCAGGAGACTCACCAGGGCTGGTGCTGGCCAGGGGAGTTGGTGCAATGTCCCAGGAGCCAGCAGAGGGGCTGGGTAAGGTGCCAGCAGGGGGGATGGGCAGAGAGGGGAGGGGGCAGTGCCCAGGTCCCTCATCTGCTCCATCTGGGCAGTTCCAGTTTCCATCGCACAGATGGATGGCCTCTACGCAGGTGCCATCGAAGCAGGACACCTCCCCCTGGGTGCAGTTCACCTGCCCTGGGGGTGGAGAAAGAAGAAGCTGGCCCAGGACACTGCCCCTTGTTCCCACTCACACACCCACAGGTGCCAACTTCCCAGTGGGAACCTGGATTGGGGGAGGAGGGGAGGCAGGCAGTTCGGGGTTCAGAAGATGGGCTTTGTAGGAAGGGGTGCCCTGTAGGCTGGATGCCGGTGGGGACCACCCACCCAGACAGGACTCCTCGTCAGCAGCGTCTGAACAGTCAGGGTGCCCATCGCAGAGCAGGGCTGGGGGCAGGCAGCGCCCATCAGCACAGGCCAGAGAGCCCTGGGGGCAGGGGCAGCCCTGCTCATCCGTCCCATCTCCACAGTCATCCTGTCCGTCACAGAGCAGGGCCAGGGGCAGGCAGTGGCCGGAGCTGCAAGACACCTGCCCCTCCCCGCAGCCTGGAGTGGCACAGCCTGGTGTGGGGCAGGTAAGCGGGCTCAGGATCCAACAACAGGACCCAGAGAAGTCCCTCACCCCAGGAAGACCAGAACCCCCTGCCTGCAAGTCATAGCTGCTGGTAATGGGAGCAGCAGCTTAGGAAGTTGCCCTCCGACACATGAGAGGACTGCCCTGTCACAGCCACTGCCACACACAGGTGAGGACACTCACCCTCCTCATCTGAGCCATCGCCACAGTCATCCTGGTTGTCACAGAGCCACTGGTGGGGCACACAGTGGCCGCTCTCCTGGCATGGGGCCTCTCCCTCTGCACAGCCAGGCACAGGCTCCTCGCAGTGGGCACTGTCACTCCCACAAAGCCACTGACTCTCCTGGCACGTGCTGAGCACACGATGTCCTGGGATCAGCCCACAGTTCTGGGCCAGTCCAGGGGGCATGGGGCTCCCCCAAGACCCCCCACTCACCAGTTCCCACAGTCCTTCTGCAGCACAGTCCCTGGCGGGAAGAAGCTGCCCCCTGACTCACAGGGGCAGAGAGCTGGTTCCAAGCAGACTCCTCCTGAGGTCACAGAGGGCAGGGTTTGGAGCAAAGGGAACCGTGGCCCTCATGACAGTCCTGTCACTGTGGCCTTGTGGCCCCTTCCCTGTCTCAGTGCCCCCTCCCCCCTGCTCATTCTGACCCTACCCACCATGCAGCAGGGTCCCCTCAGGGCAGAAGCAGCCCTCCACACAGGTAACGGCCTGGCAATGCCACCCAGCTCCAGGACCGTGGTCATGGCAGGTGGGGGAACACATGGGGCCACAGGCCTCATACACCTGGCCTCCTTCACATTGCAGAGCTGGGTGGAAAGGAGAGAGGCTTGGGTCACCAAGGGGCAAGGACATCAGGATGCAAAAGCAGTAGGTGAGCCAGCCCCAGGTGACACCCTGAAGGTCAGGGGGTGCATGGGGGAGATTCCTACTGAGCCCCTCCCAGGGCTGTTTGCAACGCGCAAGTTCTACCAGGCAATAAACTTGGGGTGTTTGGCTGAGCATGGTGGGACTGGGCATCGGGCACCGAGGTCAGGGCACACTCACGGCAGAGTTCCTGGCTGCGCCAGCGCAGGTGGAGCCCATGCCGGGAACATTCGTCTGCGTAGGCGGCAATGGCCGAGCAGAGACACTCACAGTCGCCTCCTGAGTCACAGCTGTGGGAGAGACCGGTCAGCCTCAGCAGCCCCTCTCCACCGCCACACACCGGTCCCTCCCTGTCCCCAGGCCTGCCCCTCTCACCCGCAGGCATCGTACACGCACCACTCGTAGTGCTGCTGTGGGGGCACCTCCGCATGGCACCGGGCAAAGAGTGGCTGCAGCAGCACCCCGCAGCGGGAGCGAGCCCAGGCGGCCCGGTGGGCATTTACCTGTGGGCACAGCGCGGTGGACCAGCCAGATCTCTCCGCAGCACCCAGCCTGCGTACCCCCTGGGTTTCTGCAGCTGCCCCCACTCCCTTTCCCATCTCCTGCCCTTGCTCACAGTGCNCATCTCCTGCCCTTGCTCACGGTGCAAGGGTGGGGCAGGTCCCCTGGCTCGGGGCAGAGGGGACTGAGGCGCCAAGAGTGGGCGGCCAGCTCAGCAGTGGGCTCCAGGACTCCCTGTAGGCTCCNTGGGCGGCCAGCTCAGCAGTGGGCTCCAGGACTCCCTGGCGGCTCTGCAGGTCGTTACTGGCATCTCCATCGAAGTCTCCACACAGCCCAGCCACACGGCCGCGGAACTGCGGGGACAGCTGCACCAGGACCCGGGTGCCTGCAGAGAGGGCCCGGGTGTGTGAAGCAGGGACCCGCTGGCCTTCAACAGGGCCCAGAGCAGGGGGAAGACGGACTCGGCGTGTAGGCCGCCTACCTGCATGAGTCCCGCCACCCAATAGGGGGCGCTAGTTTACTCTTTTTTTGGTGGTGGTGGGGATGATCGGTGGTAATAAAAGGAAAGTACATTGAGGAGGCTAATGGTAGAAATGGGAGCCTACACCCCTAATTAAACCCAGGTTTGGGGACAAGGAAGTTCTCCAGCCAGATTCCAGCCAGGAATCAGGCTCCAGGAAGGATTGTGACACCCACCAGCCCCAGGGGGCTCAGGGACCCGAGTCTGACATGGCAGCCCTACTATGCTGACCTCCAGACTCCTTCCCACATGGGGGCTTATTTTGGTTTCCAGTTTCTCAGTAAGTCATTTCTAAAACACCAGCTGCTTGGTCTGGGTGGTGGGATGTTAGGAAATTTATCTTCATTTCTTCTCTATGAAACGTGGTATTTTCTAAATGTTTCTTTGGTGAGGAGGCATTGATTTCATAATGAACAGAAACCCAGCAGGGAAACTGAGCACTTGTAAGGAGGGGGGGTCTGGGGGAGTTGGAGCCCTGGGTAAAGCAAGTGAGGGTGGGAGGGTTAGGGGTGGGGCCCGACCTCCATCCCAGAGCAGGGTGAGGCCCAAGCGCGTTGTGAGCAGCAGGAAGAGGCCAGCCCTGCGCAGGCTCAGCCCAGGGCCCGTGTAGACCTTGGGGGGTGTTACACTCGCCCCATTCACTGTCACTGCCCGGCCTGTGGAGGAAAGGGCAGGCCATCAGGCTGGGCCTTGGGGTAGAGGGCCTCCCAGATCCCCATGGGGTCTCCCAACCTCCCCTCCAACCTTCCTTTTGCTTCTCTAGCTACGTGACCTTGGGCAAGCCATTAGACCTCTCTGGGCCCTAATCTCTTAGAGCCTTCTAGAATGATGACTCCCAGCCAAGAGAGGAGGCATCAGTGGCAGGGCACTGATACAAGTGGGGGGACATGGAGAACCAGGGCCTCAGCCACCCGTGCAGAGCTGTGAGCCATCCTGTGTGCCCCTCCCTGGCAATGCCACCCTTCAGTGTCAGTCACCTCTGAGCATGTGCACGACAGTGCTCTGCAGTCGCACAGTCAGTGCCTTGGTGCAGGTGAGGCCGCTGGCCCCACAGGGCAGGTTCTGGGCAGAGACTGCAAACTGGCCGCTGGCCTCTCGCACCAGCAGGTATTCGCAGGCCCCAGGGAAGGTGAGGGCCAGCCCATCGAATGTCACATAGTGGGGGGCACCTGATGCCTGGCACCGTCCGCTGCACTGCTGGCCCGTGCAGTGCCAGTGCCGGCCTTGGCACACGCTGTGGGCAAGGGAAGGAGGGGAAACAGAGTTATGAGGACAGGGACCCGGAGCTGTATCCAGGGGAGGAAACTGGTCAGGTTCTAGGCAACTCCAAAGAGACGCTCAGCTTGGAGATCCTGGGGGGCTCCCACTGCCCAGGCAATCTGGTTCTCCCATTCCACCTATCACCCCAGCCCCAATCCAGGGGTCACGAGGTCAAAGGTTACAGGTCACGGGGCTGGGCTTACCAAATGTTGCAGTCTTCCTGGATGGTAGCGTTGGGTGGATACCACCTCCCGCCATGGCGGCAGGGACAGAGCTCAGGAGGCACACAGCGCTGGTCCTGGGCAGAGGCCAGGAACAAAAGGGCACCTTAGAGGACAACCCAATGCCCTGCCCACTGTTTCAGACAGCCAGGGAGCCGGGCAGTGCTTATGCAGCTCCTCCCAGACTTACCAGCAACACAGTGCCTGGAGGACAGACACAGTCCCCTGGGCTGGCTGGGGGGCAAGAGTGGTTGGCACTGGGGCTGTCACAGGTGAGGAGGCAGGCACCAGGGACATAGACCAGCTCATGGGGGCAGACTGTCCGCTGGGGGGCGCAGCGGCGAGCAGTGCAGTTCCAGAGGCCCCTGTCCTGGCAGACACTGCCCACATGGGAGGGAGGTGAGAGGCAGGTCCAGGCCAGCCTCACTTCTAGGCGACTGGTCTGACCTGGGGGAGGCTCAGGAACCAGGGCTCCCAAGCCCCTAATGTCCACTCCAGAGACCCGAGATTCCTCCCCTAACAATCTAGTTGTTAGAAGCATAGGGATTGGGGCTGTTCCCAGCACCTAGCTATACCTGGGACATTGTCACCTTTCCTGCCCCAGCTCCAATGGGGCCATTCTCTGGGCTCTGGGGGGAGGGCAGAGATAGTGAACCACCCCGCTCCCGGTGCAGATAGGAGGGGGATGTCATTGAAGTCCCACATTCACCCACCAAGCCTTGGCTCCTGGCTTCACCTCCATAGGATTGTAACTTGCCTTGACTTCTCCCTAACCCTTGGAAGGACCTCTGGACCACACTCAACTGGAATTCAGAGGTCTGGGCACTAGACCTTCATCACTAACAAGCTGTGTGATTCTGAAAGCCATTTACCTTATATGAGCCTCAGTTCCTCATCTGCAAAATGGGAGCAATTCTCCCACTTCCTACTTCACTAAGCTATCATAAGAATTAAGGACAATAGGATCAAGTACGTGAAAGTGTTCCACACTAAGGAGTTATGGATACTTTATCATCCAATGTGCGTGCCATGCTGAAACCCACCACGCTACAAGCCCTTTTCTCTAAGCCCTACCTCCTCACCCCAGGCTCTTCGCCCCCCCCAAAGGTTGCTGCCCTCACCAGCGGTTGCAGTCCTTCATGGTGGCACTGCCAGGGGCATAGCGATGGGCTCCAAGCTGGCAGGGGCACAAGCTGGGGGGCACGCACTGGCCCTCGGAGTCCCACAGCAGCCCTGAGGGGCAGTTGCAACCAGCCACACAGCCACCCAGCTCCCCACAGTCCTCCGGTTCCCCACAGTTTCGACCGCACACTGGGGCACACTCCTGGTACTCCTGGCCCCCAGAACACAGGACAGCTGGGCATAGAGACACAAGCAGGTCAGGGGCATAGCCGCCACTGCCCTGCCCACCCCTCCTGAACCTACCACCCCCTCCTGTGCCTCCAAAAGTAGGTAAACCAGGAATCTGCCAAGGTCAGAGGTCCTCCTGGGGACTGCCCCCCCACACTCCCCTGCAAAATTCTTGCATCCCTTATAGCTGGGAGGAGGAGACTGGAAATCAGGGGGCTGGCTGAGCTGACTCACGGCAGAGGGTCTGGTTCCTCCAGGGAGACAGGGCACCCTCCTGGGCACAGCGGCGAGCATAGGCAGTGAGCACCGGGCACAGGCAGTCCCTGCCAGGGGCACAGCCACACACGGCTGCCAAGCAGCGCAGGTGGAAGGGCTCCCTGTCCACCAGCCTGTGGCACTCCTTGGGGGAAGATGAGGACATGGATCAGCTCCTTCCCCACGGGTTCCCCGTCCCCTCCTGTCCGCACCGCCACCTCCCTGTGCTCAGCAGTCCTGTCAGCAGGAAGCAGGGCCTTCGTGATAACCCAGGAGGAGAGAGGATAAGTACTGACCCCATCTTACAGGCATGAACAGGAGGAGCGCCCCCAACTGGTTACCTGGAAGGCTGGGCTGTGTAGGACGGCACAGGCTGCCTCCGCAAAAATGTGGTGTTGAGTGTGGGTGCTGCAGGGGGAAAGCGGGGTGCTGTCCTCTGAGGGGCACCTTCCCTCGCCTGCAAGCTGGAACTTGCCAGCAAAGGCAGCAACGCTGGTCTCCACGTCACCAGCAGGTGTCAGGAAGTCGTCCTGCTGGTTCCAGGTGAAGGTGCCACATAGCCCCTGCACCTGGGCCACCAAATGGACATGAAATTGTCAAATCCGGGCCCACCATGGCCTCACCCAGCCAGTCACCTGCCCCCTGGCACACCTGGTAGGCATGGCGGGGGTCCAGGGTGATGTAGGCTGCAGGGTCAGACACCCCCCAGAGGACCTGGGCTCCAGACCAGCGTAGCAGCAGGAAGGTGGAGGAGGCTTGGGAGACGCTGAGGCCCTCGGGGCTGCTCCAGGGCAGGCCCACATCCTGCCCATTGGCCAGGACAGCTCCTGGAAAGGGGGCTTGTGAGGGGCTGCCCCGTAGAGCTGGGCTGAGCTGATGAGGATAGGGGGACAGCACATGGCAGGATGGGGCTGCAAGAAGGGAAAGGATTGGGCAGGAGGTGGGAGCCTGCGTTACAGGAGCTGCCCACACTGAGTGAGGGGAACCGGAGTGAGCCTTGGGAGGTCACGCATTCCCCCTGAACACCACCCACATGCACTAAGGACCACCCTCAGCACCTAGTTTGCCTTTGGAGTCAGTGTTCAGGCGGAGCAGGTGCAGGGAAGAGAGGTAGAGGGACTGTGGGCTCAGCATCCAGAACTGGGAGGGGCCTGGCCTGGTGCCTGACTTTTCATAACTTGTACCCTCACCCCCAAGGATGGGGGCAGAAGATGCCTTGAGACTGTGTGTCTGCTTCAAAAATGGGACATTTAGGGGAAATGGAGGCAGTGTGTTTGCTTTGGGGACTCTGAGGGGAGACCGAGACTCAGAAACCACAGGGCAGTATGGACAGACGATGCTGGAATGAGCCAGAGTCTGCAGGGAGCGGAGTGGTAACAGGAGGCTGCCAGGGCCTGAGGCCTGCCCCAAAGTTCTGAGGGCTGCCAGGAGAGAAGGCTTAGTAGGTAGGTACCCTAAGAGCCCAGGCTACCTGAGTCCCGGAGCTGGACATGGGTGTCCCGCAGGGAGACAGAGATGGCGTGGAGGCAGCTCCCAGAGTCGCAGGCTCCGTGCTCCAGCACGATCGACAGCTGCCCCTTGGCCAAGTCCTGGGGCAGATGGTGAGGAATGTGTGTGTGTGGGGGGGCAGGCATCCAGGGCACACACCTGGAGGCAGCTCCCACCCAATGTGAGCTGACCACCTTCCAGCCAGCCAGACTGTGTATGTGCACACACGTGTGTGTGTGTGTGTGTCTGCATGTTGGGGTGAGATGGCTCCCCTTTCCTCCCCCTGGGTATGTATGCTCATGTGTATGTCTGTGCGTCTACACATGTCACATCTACATGCGCGTGCGTGAGCATATGTCATCTGCGCGCGCCTGTTTGTGTCTGTGTGTGTAAGAACACGCACCTGAACCTGGGATGTCACCTCATTTTACTAGGGGACCAAGAAGGTCCCTCATTGGCCCTGGGATTATCTTGCACCAAGGAGCCTGTGACAAACCCAACCTGTCCAATCTGTGAGAAAGGACTGTGAGGATGGATTTTGTTTGGTGGCCCTGGGGCTGGGGTGGCGATGACAGCAGGACTTTCCCGGGAACCTAAGGAGGAGGCGAGAACCCAAAGGGGAGGCGGCGGCGGGTCCCCTGCAGCCCTCCTCCCTCCGGGATCTTCTCCCTCAGCTTCTCCCGGGGCGAGACGACTGTGCGGGCTTTGCTCCCTAATGTACGGTCACCTGTCCCGCACAGCAGCTCCACGAGGGGCCCCGCTCCAGCCGGCCCCCTGCCCACCTGCGCCAGGACGGAGCGGCAGCCCGGCCGGCCGCGGAAGGAGAAGCTCCGCCCGTCGAAGGTGTGGTAGTGCCCGTCCCCGCCCACGGCGCACTCCGACGGACACGGCGCCTGCGCGCAGAGCCAGCGGCCGTCCTGGCACACGCTGCGGGCACACCGGGTGGGAGAGCGCCCCCTGGGTCAGTCCTCCCCCGCCCCCGGGGCGGTCAGTCCCCCGGGGGAGGGGGTGCTGAGCTGGAGACGACCTCCCGCCCCCCACCAACACCTTGGTGCCGCCCTCCCGTTAGAGGTCAGCGGGTGGAGGTCACCTGCTAGGTCTTTAAGCAGGGCCACCAGTTATGCCATGAGAGGTCACCGGGCACTTGTAAGGGGTCCCCAGAAAGGAAGGCAGGTTGAGGCGATGGCCTTCGGGAGGGGTCGGAGTGGATTGGACGGTCTCCAACCCCAGCGAAGGGCCGGCAGGGCCCGGGGACCCACCACGGGTTGCACAGCTGGCGCACGGTGTCCCCGGGGGCGTAGCGCTGGCGTCGGTGGTAGCAGGGGCAGCGCGCGGCGGGCACGCAGAGGGCGCCGTCCCAGAAGAGGCCGGGCGCGCACTCGCAGCCGCTCGCGCATTGCTCCTCGCAGGACCCCTCCCCTCCCGCGCCCGCCCCGGAGCAGCTGCGCGGGCAGGCGGAGGCGCAGTCCGAGTACCGCTGGTCGCCGGGGCACAGGCGCTCTGGGGGCACGGGAGGGGGCTGTGAGGCCCGGAGCCCCCTCCTCCCGCCAGACCTCGCTGCCGCCCAGGAGCTGGAGGCCAGCCGGGCGTTCAGCGAGTGCCAGAGCGCGCAGAAGTAGGGCCCGCACGAGGGCCCTCCCTCCGTTCCCAGCCCTGCGGGTGGGAGGCCAGGAGGCACCGCAGGAACCCTACCACAGAAGCCGGGCTTCCTCCAGAGCACGCGGATGTGCCGCTTGGCACAGTCCTGGGCGTAGCTGGCCAAGGTGACGCACACAGCCTCCCTGCGGCCCTCTCGCCCACCGCCCGCTGGGGCCCCAGCGCAGTAGGCAAAGAGGCAGGCCTCGTGGTACTCAGCAGGGGGCACCTTCAGAGAAAGGGCAGCCCCTCAGCCAACCAGCCTCCTCTGCACCACCCACCAGCACTCCCTCCTCTTGCTTCCATCTCTCCCTGGATTATAACCAAACAGTGAGGGCTGGAAGGGACCTCAGAGCTCATACACACGAGCCATCTCATCTCCCAGAGATAAAACCGAGGACAGGGAGGGGGATGGTTGCCCAGTGGCCCAAAGCAATCTCATGGCAGGACCAGATTCCCCGTTTGGCACCTCCCTAGCATCCCCTCTTTTCCACCCTTCTGGTGCCAGACACCACCTTCACCCCCACCCATACCTGGGCATGGCATTCTCTGAATGGACCATCCAGCAGCTGGTGGCACATATCTTGGGCTTCAGCCCGCAGCTGGCTGGCCTCCATGCCCACCTCTGTGCCCCTCAGAGGCTCCTCACAGCCCTGGGCTGCCTCCACCGCATCCAGACACCCAGGCTGGGGACAATTGGAGGAGGCAGGGATGAGGCACATTAACAGGGATGCCAGGAAAATAGCTACCGCTTTCATAGCTGCTCCAAAGCACTACTGTCAGGGCTAGCAGCCCAGATATCATCCTGGGGCTATGGGGGAGAGGCAGCAAAGTGGCAACCTGGGGGGGGGGTAGGGGAGCTTGGGTCACTGTCAGCCCACATGCAGGAGGTTTGATGACTAGCTAAGTAACCAAAACTGGTTGGTGACCAGGTCAGTGAATGTGTCCTCTGCATGGTCAGTTCTCGCAGGTAGCTGGGGCTGTGGGCAGCACCTTACACAGAGCTCCTGTGGGACCCTGAGCTTGCCTTTTCTTCCCTGAGGGCCTGGGAGAGGGGCAGGAACTGTCACTTGAGGGAGACAGAACAGAGGCTTGGAGGTGTCAGAGAAGCTAGGCGTGGGTAGGCAGGTAGGGAGCAAGGGATCCCAGGTTCCCCAAAGGCTGCATCTCACCTCTGAGTCAGGGAGCCTCCAGGAATTCCCAAAGGTGGCAGCTAATGCAGCCAGCCCCCCTCCTGGCTCCAGGAAATCATCTAGGGGAGGGGGAGGGAAAGCAGAGGTGCTTCGTCTGAGGTCTCAGGCCTCCCCTTCCCTCCTACACCAGCAACACCACCACACCCCATTCACCTTCACGCCGACCATTGTAGAGCCCACAGAGGCCTTGAGTCTGTCCCTGGAGCTCACGGTCTACAGAAACGGAGACCGAACTGGACCTATCCAGCCGCACAACGACCCCCAGGCCTCCTGACAGCACCAGCCAGTCTCCTTGCCACTGCAAGCTCAGCCCTGCACAGGGGAAGTTCGAGTCACACTCCTCACCCTTCCCACCATCACACTAGGGCTCAGACTGCCCAGGGGAAGATTCCCACCATTCTAGAGAGCTCTGCACTTCAGACCCTTTAAAGCAGCCCCCACTGGTTTCCTATCACAGCTGTGAAGTTCATGAGCACTGGCTCTGGATGGTCTCTTGAGAGAGTGCCCCACGTGTACACACACAGAAACACACTCCCACTTCACTCCATGGACCCCGACCGGATAGAAGTTCTGGTAGGGACTGTCCCATCTACTGGCACCAAAGCCTTCCTCAGCACTGTGGCAGGCAGGTGGGGGAAACTGAAGCTCAGAGAGGTTAAGTGGTTAAGTAGAGGGACTCGCCCAAGGTCGCCTTGTGAGGGGCTGGGGGGAGGGGTGTTGCAGGTGTGGGGTAGGGACTAGGTCCACGACCTCAGCCCCTCAGCTGGCTCCCTCATTTCCAAATGCCTCCCAACAGCAGTGGGGGTCCAGGGAACTGCAGCAAGCTCAGTCCCTAGCTGCCCCTTCTGCTGCCCTCTGAGCCCCACCCTGGGGGTGGGCAGACTGTCCCTTACCCGGGAGCAGCTGAGACTCCCCCTCAGGTACCAGCTGCCCATTCACAGAGACATTTCCACCCTGAATCAGCACTTCCTCTGGTCCCATCAGCACCCGGGCCTGGGAGGAGACCCGGAATGGGTGAGGTGGTCAACATTCCCCTCCCACACCCAGCTCCCTCCCTGTCACCATTCCCATCTCCCTCCCTCACCAGCTGGCAGTGCCCCTGCTGGGGACAGTGGCCCCTGGGCCTGAGGTGGACAGCCCAGGTGGAATCAGCAGCACCAGCCAGCAGGTAAGTGCAGCGGCCCAGGAAGTGGTAGTGGCGCCCATCAAAGGTGCGATAGTGGAAGCCGGACCAGGTGGCACAGGTGGCTAAAGGACGCTGGCGCTGGCTCCAGAGTTGGGCCACAGCCCCTGGCAGAGGCTGCAGGAGGGCTGGAGAGGGGGTGCTGCCTGGGGGAGAGGCACCACCATGAGCTTCTGAATGTGGGGGAGGGAAGGGGGCAGGTGGACAATCATGGTCACTCTGGTGGCAGGGGATGGGAGGTGACTCATCTGAGAGAACGGGGAGTGGGCATGGGCCCCGTGGAAAGGCCCAGAGCTCCAGAACTCCATGTAAGAGTACCTAGGGGGGCAGCAGGTGACAGCTGGGACAATGCCTTTTGGCAGGCTGGGGACCCACCTGGGAGCTGTTGGCTGGAGCAGCTGAGGCAGGCCTGGGAGTGGCCATCCCGCCAGCTGTGTCCCCAAGGCTGGGCACAGCACTCCTCCAGGCTTCCTGCAGAAGCATTAGCTGAGCCTGCCTGAGGCTGGCACTGCCACGTGGCAAAGCAGTGGCCTTCGGGGCTGGCTTCTGCAAGGGCTATGGTGGGTACAAGGAGAGAATGGGGTGGACCCAGTCAGTGAGCCTGCCCAGCTTCCCTTCCCAGGCAGCCTGCTACCTCCATGACACTGCAGATCTGGGCTAATCTGAGGCACTCACCCAGGGTGCAGTGGGTGCCCCCCCAGCCTGGGCAGCAGGCCCTCACCGTCCGGTTCCATGCAACAGGCCGCGTTTCTGGGGGCCTGGGTCCATGGAGCAGGCAGAAGGGAGAAGATATTAGTGTTCAGCCCAGCCCCATCCCTGGGAATGGCCTGGGACGGTCATTCAGTCTCGTCACGGTCACCTACTCTCGGGGTGAATTTATCATGTAATTTCCCTTCCTGGTCCTAATTTCCCCCATGAGATGCCCTTGGGCAGGCCTCCTGGAGGGTAGGCAGAGGCAGGAGGCCTCAAGCATCTCCACGGGCTGCTCTCAGTGGTGTCCACTCATCCACCACCCCCATCCTGCACTCTCTGCCCTTTGAGAGCCCGTCCAGGCCTACTTCCCAAATGCCTGCTTTTCCAGGTCACCACCAGTCCTCCCCCCTCTCAGGATGTGGCCCCTTCGCTCTTCTCCTGCTGGGCAGCCAGCCCAGACTCTGACCCTCACTCACTTGTAGATGGGACAGAGCCTGGAGCGTCCACTCCAGGACAAGTCCAGCCGCCAGCCCAGGCGCCGGTAATGGTAGAGGCTGGTGCAGGGCACCAGGTCCTCCTGACGCGGGGTCACTTCCTCCTCCACCAGGATGGTCTCCATCTGCTCACACCACCGCCTGCCATGGACAGGGAATGAGAGCTGCTGCCACTGTCCCCTGTCACCAAGAAGCCCTGTCCTGTGAACCCACTCTTGAGTCAACTCCCAGGGAAGTTAGTGAGCTGAGGAGGAGGCTGAGATTGGCAGGGGCATCTGGCTGCCCCAGAGGGTCCCAGTCATGGGGCAGGAGGAAAGGATCTTAGTTGGAGGGTCCCTGTGGTGGGCTGCTTACCCAGTAGTAAGTGCCCACGCCATCCCAAAAAGCAGGGCAGGGAGCAGCATGGTGCCTCCACAGGTCACCTTTGGGGGACTTTGACGCTTGGGCTTGGGGGAGGCAATGTGCTGCAGGTGAGCTGAGAGGCCAGTACTGGCCTCCCCCCACCAAGAGCACCGCAGCACCCGCAGCCCAGCCTCCTGTGTCCAGGCAGCCTCAGCGCACTGGGGCTGGGAGGCTTTATCTCAGCCCCATGCCCCCCCCCCCC